GTCAAGACTGAAGAAAGTAAAACTGCAGTTGTCTCCACTGCATAAAATACATAGTGAATGCTTTACTGTAACACCTTAATTGTAAAGAAGTTTGCAACCTTAAATCCGTGTATAAACTAGAAGCTCTTCAGGATGAAATGTGACAAAGATGATCACAGTGGCTTGACTGTTCTATAACTTGCATGGGCTTTGGACATGGTATCAGGATAAAACCTGATTCAGAAGCCTAGCCTGGTGTCCTGTGCATTGGTGCATGTTAGGAGAAAACTGGGGTCTGTCTGGCACACATCAAACTATACATCTGTTTGTATGATGAGTAAACCAAGCACACTGTATACTGGGCTGCAGCTTCATGTGTGGGCCTGAGATAATTAATTTAAGCCTTTTGTGGGAGGGCCAAAAGAAAAATGGATTTTTCAATGCCATGAGATTGTGCTGCCTTCGTAATTCTACAAGTATGCTGTACTGAGGTACATGCAGCTTAGATCTGATGCATCTTACATATGATGCACCTTTAGTCAGCAGGGATGCACAATGCCAGCTCAAACAGCAAGAAAGGCTTTAGCCAGTCTCACCTGGTTTCCTTGGGTACAGACATACAGAGGTGCCCTAAAAGAATCACAAGCAGAAATATCAGTGCATTTCTCAGGCAGAGTGTGTTTCTCTGTTCAGAAGGGCAGTGATAGAACGCTCCTCAAAATGAAAATGAGAAAAGCACTTGAGAAAGTTTTTGTTATTCAGGCAGATGCTTTAATTGTCTAAACAGTCAACAGAAGAGATCCTGACTATTTAACTGAAAGGGGGAACTATCTTAAAACTACAGCACAAAAGAAAAGAGAAGCAAGTGCTCACCCAGTTGTGTCAGAGAATTTGTTACCTGATGCTTGCTTATTCCCTTCCTTCAAACCACCAGTTCAGTTCTATGGAGTGCAGAAGACAACCAGTTAAAGCCCCTGGTGGGTAAACATTGAAGCAGTACCGATAAAATGAGCACCTGGGAATAGACACTATAGCTTTACATAGCCATAATTGACTAATAGTTTCAGTGGGTGTTTGAATAACTAGTTGCAGAATCAGGTTCTCACATGTCTTTATAGAAAGGAACAGTATTTGTATAGAACCTTCTATAGACGTCTCTATGTGAAATGTATTACACCATATAAATAATGCCCACCTCACAATGTTACTAGGACACAACATCTTAAAACATATCCTTATTTGATTTTGCTAAGGCCAGTCCCTAATGAATAATTAACATCAAAATACTAAAACTTGACATAGGAGCTAGTCAAAATTAAAACCATCTTTCACTAGCATTGCAGCTGCTGAAGCAATGTTCAATGAAGTTGCTTTTTTTCAGGTGTGCAAATAACATCAGCTCTTTCATTCTGCTTTTTAATCGCAGCAAAAATAATTTTTGAACCAGGAAGGTATTTCTTAGAGTTTTCTAAATACTCTTGTCAGTGTATTCTCACTCCAAACAACTCATGAAAAACAAAAAATATAATAAAGTACAAGGCTGGCACAACATCGTATATGTATGAAAATATCAATGGTTTCAAATCAAAGGTGTGATGCTTTTGAACGTTGTCCATGTAGAATCCAAAAGAATGTGAGCATAAATGATAAATGATACACATTGTCTTCGTGTCACTTTATTAAGTAAAATATAAGTTCTTTTTGCATCACGGAAAGTTGCAGTTCTTTGCACCATTTCACATACAACTACTTACTACTTTTAGAGTATGTAAGTATCTTTGTAATTCCAATATCCAGAGGATCCAACCTAATTTCATACAGTTTCTGAAAATGAACATCTGGAGATTGACATGAAATTCATCAAGCTCTGCTCCATTGAGGGGCATTAGAAAAAGGGTTGTCAATGGTCAGTTCCTGGAATCTCTTGACAAGTTGAAAAACCATTAGTGTTTCCTTCTAAACCTGCTAAAACCTGTCTCTGTCAACAGAAGCCTACTGTTGTACTTAAAACTACTGCAAGACCTATAAATGACGTGTCCACGTTTTTCTTCTGTCCTCCAGAATTGACTTCCCATTGTCTAAAGTGGATTTAGATATTGCTTTGTTGACTTTCTTTTAAAAAGTTGTACTAACATTGGTATGATGTTTTCACACAATTTTAGTGGGAAAAAACAGTCAATATGTGCTGACAATGTTTTGTATGAAGGAAGTCCCAGTATAAAGTGAATGTCACAAAATGTTTCCTAGAAATCACAGAAAAATAAAGAAGTCAGCCAATTCTAAAGCACTTTAGTAACCAGAAAAAAACCAAACCAGGACTGTATTTGTAGTTAATAGTTTGATTCAAATAATATAATTTATATTCAAATAATAGAAATAAAAACAATTACACCCACACAGAATACTTTCCACTGGAGTTGTTCCACTGCTTTTCAAGACTGTCTGTATGAAAAACACAAGAAAAACCAAAAGTCATAGCATACTAGTAGGAGACGGTATTTAGTCAAGCAAAATAACTGTAGCATACCATGATGCCAGTAGAGGGTAGTTACCAGAAAACAAAATTTAAAAACACTCCAGGAACAGAAATTAAAATCTGCCCGTTGGTACTAGGAAATTCTGGGAAAGCTATAAACCTTCTAATTTGGTGTACTGGGTATTGGAACGAGGATTTTTGTTTCCAAAACTAGTTCAAATTTGCCTGCAGTAATGCAAAGTTGTGAAAGTAACTCCTTGTGAGGAAGGCTTTTTATCATAGCTCTAAAGAAAAAGGTTTTTTGCATATATATCCCCTCCAACACTGCAGCTTATCCATGCCATCTGTTAGTTTCTCCTTTGTTTTTGTTTGCATCTAAGTAAGAAAATACTGCAGCTTGTCCTGTTCTACAGCCAAATAAACCCCAAAGATTTGCTCCTGTCTTATGCTTTCCACCTTTTCCAACAGTGCGGCACTAAGAACATTTCTGGATAAAGATATTTTTACGTTTTTCAACATCACCCATTTTGATCTATGGAAAAAATCTAAAATGTTGGTCACAGTTATCATGTTCTTCCTCTTGACAACTACATCTGCTTACGTGAAAGGGGCATTTCTGCATATTTAATTTGCTTGTGAAAAGTAACAGAATGTGCGCAGCCCGATCTCCTGATTTCTTCTTTTAACTTCATTTTGCACCAGGAGATGTTTGTCCATTACGATCCCAGTAAGAATGGAGTCACACTCTGTAAAGTATCTTCTACAGTGCTGTTTATTTACAATGCTAACACTATAAAAAGAAGTATAATTTCACATCCCTTTAGATGGTGGGAGGCCCAGGTGGTGTAGCATTGAGGGAGCCTCTGACTCACACATAGCACGCTATGCAGACCACCTTCATAGTAGAGAGCCTCACCTGTGGTCTTTCAAGCTGTATAGAATTTTGTAACATGGAAACAACTCTGCCATTTCGGCAGTCAAAACAGAAATGATGGTCTCAGGAATCTTTGCTGTGCTGTTAGACAAGGGCAAGGCCAGGCAGCAGGTGTAATCGTCAGTACCTAGCAGGGGGTGCCCACAGGCTTCTCTGTAAGGATGAGCCAGCTGACTGAGTTTACCCCGCTCATCCCTGGCTGAGGCATGTGTGCTGCACAATATGGCCTGAAGGCCAGGCTGTACCTGCAGCATGGCCCAGCACAGCCCCAGCCTGCGCTTGCCTGGGGTGACTGTGCCGTGGATCACTGACCCCTCAATGTGCAGTGGTCAGCACCACTACAATCCCAGGGCACTGACAACTCCTTTAGGAGGAATTCTTTTTTCTTGAATCCAAATACTAAAGATGTGATGAGTTTTATAAGAACATTGCATTCTTCACAATTAATTAGCTCTGTGCTTATTTTCCTACAGATAGCTATATTTCCTGGGTATTTTTTGTGTTTATTTCCTATGAAATGTATAAAGTTCCCTGGTCTTCTGTATCCTGAGCATTCACAAGAAGCCCTGCTCTTGCCTATAGCAGCAAAGGCCTTGAAAATAGTTTCTTCACAGAAGAATTCTCTCTTTGTGACACTAGTGCTCTTTCAAAGGAGGTGAGTCTCTAGTTGAAGGATGCCCTTTAAAAGTAAACAAATCATTTCATCAGAAGTGAGTATGTTAGGAAAATAGTGACAGAGGGTACAAACCTGGGAGGAGTGGTCGATATATCAGGTCCTACCAGATACCATCCATACAAACGTGACAGACTAGAGAATGGTCTGACAGGAGCACCAAGGAGTTCAACAAGGTGCAAGACGCCTGCACCAGAGGAGGAAAAACCGCATGACCCAGTACAATCGGAGGAGGGAGGTGACTGGCTGAAAGTAGCTTTGCAGAAAGGTCTTGTGGTGGACACCAAGGTGAACATGAGCCAGCAATGTGCAGCAAAGAGGGTGACCAGTACCCTGGGCTGCATTAGGAGTGCTACCAGCAGGACAAGGGAGAAGACCCCTCCTCTCTACTCAGGACTGCTGAGGCACCTTAAGACCTACTGGAGAGAGTCCAGTGGAGGGCCACAAAAGTGAGTAAGGGACTAGAACCTCTCTTACATGAAGAAAGGCCAAGAGCTGGGACTGCATAGCCCAGAGAAGCGAAGGCTCAGGGTGCATGTTATCAATATATAGGAATAGCTGAAGAGAGAGAATGAAGGATCCAGACTCTTCCCAGCGGTGCCCAGTGACAGAACCAGAGGCAATGGGCATGCACTGAAACACAGGGGGTTCCCTCTGAAAATCAGGAAACACTTTTTTTTACAGTGAGGGCAACCGAGCACTGGCGCAGGCAGCCCAGAGATGCTGTGGAGTCTCTATCCCTAAAGACATTGCAAAGCAGCGAGGACCCGGCGCAGGGCCGCCGCTCGGTAACGGGGCCGGCCCTCGGTGATGGAGCCGCCCCCCGTAACAGCGCCGAGCCCCGAGGAGCGGCGCCGGGGCTGGGAGGGGCGCGGCTGGCGCGGAGGAAGAGGTGGCGGAAGGGGCGGGCGCCTTGTCTCCCGGCGGAAAGGGCGCAGCGGCACTTCCCTGCCGGCCCCTGGGGAAACTCGTCATGGAGGAGAGCAGCGGCGTCCGCCTCTCGGCCGAGTGCCTGGACGAGCCGCCCAACAGCCGCATCTTCGTGGTGCTGGGCAAGGACACCGAGGAGACGCTGATCCGGGAGCGCTTCTCCCCCTTCGGGGACATCCAGAACATCTGGCTCCTGCGGGACAGGCGCACCAATGAGTCCCGCGGCATCGCCTTCATCAAGTTCGCCCGCAGCTCGCAGGCCTGCCGGGCCATGGAGGAGATGCACGGCCGCAGCCTGCTCCCCGACACCAAGCCCATCAAGGTACCCGCCGGGGAGCGGGGCCGGGCGCTGTGGGGCGGGCGCTGTCGGGCGGGCGCTGTCGGGGCCCGCCCGGAGCAGCCCTGGGAGCCGGGCAGCGAGGGACCGCCTCGGCCCGCACGGCCCGGGCTGGCGCTGAGACCCCTCCGGTCACGGTGGACCCACGGCGGCCTCGGGGAGCGGCTGCGGGGGGTCCCAGCCGTACCTGAAGCTCCCACGTGTGGCCTGAGCTGTAACAGGCCGGAGGGAGATGCTCTACCTGGAAACTGCGGGGTCTTTCTTTGGGGCTACGTTTTGAATTTTCAAGGAGTCTCTGTGACAAAGATTCTTAAACAGTATATCCTAAGTGTTGTAAGCAAGATAGATGTGAATAAATAGAGCTGGCTTTGCACGTCTGTTTCATGTTGGCTTTGTAGCTCGTGAAAACTTTTTTCAAAACTTTTTTTTTTTTTTAATCCATGCAATTGACTGGCAGCTTTCAGCCTCCTGTTTTCATTTGAAAATGCAATTGAGTCAGTAAAATCTTTTCTGAAGAACTTGCCATCAGAAGCCAAAAGATCAGACTTGTATTCCTTTCTCCCCTGCATGACTATTAGAAACATAAATTAAGAGCTCTGTGAAATCAGTTGCTGCTTTTGTATAAGAAGCTTACTTAGAAAATGGCTTGTATTTTTCTTACTTGGTTGTTTGGGGTTTGTTTCTTTGTTTGTTTTTATTTGTGGTTTGTTTGTTTTTTCTCCTGGTTGTCTTCTGATGTGCACTTCTGACATGAAATTTACTTCAGTAATTAAAAAGGATTTTAACAGTAACAGATGTGAGAAGTTATGATTCTTCATAGAGCACTAGACCTGCAAACTTCAGCCCAGCTGAACAGTGAACTCCAGTAGCAAGGTTTTAATAAACTGTTAGGCCTTTTTGTTTGTTTGTTTGCATATTTGTTTTTACTACTGCTGTACTAAGCCTGTTACAGTAATGCATTCTTCGCTACCTCTCCCATGTCACTGGGCATATTGGCAGTGCTGCTGAGTCAGTAGCAGTATTCCTCACCATTGTTCGTTATCCCTGGTAAGACTTTCTGCTGGCCTCTGTCCTGCCTGGGAAACCATTTGGGGTGATTTATATTTGTAGATCTTTTGTCACAGGTGATCACAGCTGTTCTTTTTTTCTATGTCAGGAAAGCTAGCTTATGCGAAAAATAAATACGAAGGTTGTTAAACCTTTTTCTTGGTTGTTGATATGTGTTTAAGACCTATTGCCGGTAATTAGTGTCTGTGTAATTATTTCATTAGGTATTTATTGCACAGTCAAGAGCTTCTGGAAGCCACCGAGATGTTGAAGATGAGGAGCTTACACGAATCTTTGTTATGATACCGAAAACCTATACAGAGGAGGATCTGCGAGAGAAGTTTAAGGTACTGATTTGCTATTTGATAATTGTTACTTTAAAATGGTTTGTCTTAATTATCAAAAGGATTTTTAGCACATGAAACTTTTAGGCATTTTCAAATATTGGAAATTAATATGCTTTTTAATTGTTCTAGATGTATGGAGACATTGAATATTGCAGCATTATTAAAAACAAGACCACTGGAGAAAGTAAAGGTTTGGGCTACGTGAGGTATCTAAAACCATCGCAAGCTGCCCGAGCAATTGAAGAATGTGATCGAAGTAAGAATCTGACTGAATTCTTTGACTTTTTTTTGCAATAAGTGTGTATCATCATTAATGTACCTTTTATTTTTATTTGTGTTTGCAGGTAAATTATTTGTGATGTAAAACATCTTGAGACAAAGTTCTTTTGCAAATAAATAGTAGCATTGTTAACATTCAGTGAGAACAGTCACCTGATTACATTCTTTCAAGACCAGGAGAAGAAAGGCTTTTGGGGAAACCTGACAGCAGCCTTTCAGTCAAACCTCCTGTTCAGTGTTGCTTAGTCACAAATATGAAATAACTTGGTGTGAGGACTTGGTTGTTTGTTGTTCTTACTTCTTTTTGTGTCTGTTTTTTTTTTCTCCCTTAATATACAAGGTGGTTCTGCGTCATATCTATCATAAGTGGTTCTATAAAAATGATATTTGTGCATAGGAATATGAGCCTGAGATTACTTAGCAATCAAATTGTATTTCTGTTTTTCTGTGAGGTTAAAATGAAATTAGTTGGATAGCTTGAGTATAATACCCATTTATTTCATAAAAGCAAAACCTAGATCAGTGCAAAACACCCATGAACTGCTGTTTTAGCACAGAAGTTCATGGGATTCCTTCTGGAGCATCTCAGAATCATGCTAAGTATCACAGAATGGTTGAAGTTGGAAGGGACCTCTGGAGGTCATCTTGCTCAGGCAGGATCACCTCGGCACTGTGGTTGCTCAGGACCATGTCCAGGTGGCTTTTGAATATCCCTAAGCATGGAGACTCCACAACCTTTGTGGTAAACTGTGCCAGTGCTCAGTCATTCTGACAGCAAGTGGATTGTTGTGCTTAACTTGTGAGTAGGAGTAGTTCTGTGTGGAAGCTGTTAACTTTCACACAATTACTATGGCAGGCTTCAAGAGTTATAGTTATTTCACTACAGCCAATGCTTACTGATATTTCTGAATAGTATGGTTCTAAATATGGTACTTGGAGAATGTGGGTCTGGTCAGATAATTGAGATGTGCTGAGGTGTTGCTATATTGTTTCTTTCAGGTTTCAGGGCCATTTTGGCTGAACCTAAAAATAAGGCATCTGAGTCTTTTGAACATGACTATTACAGTAGTAACACAAGGCAAGAACCAAGAGGAAATACGCTTCCATTTTGTAAGTCACAGCTTTTGGTACTAAACGTGATTTGTAGTCTCGAGTATGGTCACTAAGTAAGAATGTGGTTTGGAAGAAGGGAAGCTAATGGAGTCCTAGGCCAACACTTAAGTAGTAGATTGGATGTTTAAGTTAGAAACTAGCCAGGCATTTCATCTCTATATTTTTATGGCTCACTTTGCTCTGGTTGGCCAATTATTTTGCGATTTCCATTGGTGAAATTAACACATTACCTTTAATATATAATTGACTTGGATTGCTTTTAAAAGTTGAATGCAACATATGCATGAAGTGAAGGCATGCTGGTGTTGATGACTCAAATTATTTTGTTGATTCTTGAGGTATGCAGCCAGAATTTTGTAGTTTTGAAAAAAATGAGAGCAGAATTCAAGAATCTGTCTCCAAACGTCTGTCAGTGTTATCACGGCTTCCCTTTATCCAAGAGCAGCTGTTTGCCCTCTTTGATTTAGTTCCAGGACTGGAATATTGTGACGTTCAGCGAGATCCTTATACCAATAGTGGTAAGTATAAGTACAAAAAGTTTTTTTTTTTTTATCTGTGAAGGGAATTCCTTGTACTTTTACTTCAATTAATTTGTATTGCAAAATGCAGTACACTTGTGGGAAAGAGTCACTGGTTGTTGCTGTCACTGCATAAACCCAAACGTTCAGTTTTGCTTGAACCCCTGTTTACAGGTAGCCATAAATAGTTTTACTTTCAGGTAATAAAATCTCAAGAACGACGGGATCAGAGTCATGATAAGTGGTTTTGGTCAAATTAATAGTTTTAGGTAGAATAAATGAAGAAAAAGTTTCAGAAGCTATTGGACATCTAGTTAAAATGTTCTCTAAACAGATCTTTAGAGTTTTCATCTTGAAATGGGCGTAGGGTGGTGTGTGTGTGTATGTAGAAGCTGACATGAGTAAATGGGATTAAATAATTCCAAAACAGATCATGTTTTCTATTAAAAAGATATTTTGGTTTCAGTCTTGTTTTGTTGCTGTTGAGAAAAATGTGGAAGTGGTCTCTTCTCCAAGAAGCTTGAAATGATTCAGAGAACTAAAATGTAACTTTACAGTTCTTGAGATTCACTCGTAATGGGATAGTTGCATTTTTAAATGAAATCATGTATCCTTTTGTTACTCATTCCAGATGAGTAAAGAAGATGTGTTTTCACTTGTGTGGGTTTATTGCCAGCTTTTCAAAGTAGCATAAATACAGCTCATCTGTCACTAGTTAATTCCACTGAAGTTTTCTACAAATACTTCTGTGATATGTGGTAAAAAGACTTAAGAATTCTGTGCCACCCATGGCTGATGTGCAGTTTAATCTTTTACTCTATATGAGTGTAGTTTGTTCTTAGGATTTAGCCATCTCACACTGAAACTGTGTGCACTGTATTTGCAGGCTATGCTGTGATTCAGTACAGCACTGCTGCATCAGCTATATATGCCAAGTACAAATTACATGGGTTTGAGTATCCTCCTGGAAATCGATTAACTGTCACTTTCCTAGAAGATGGGAGTGATAGTTCAGAGTAAGTACTAATATATTGAGATAAAAAGTTGTAAGTTGTGTTCTGGGGAGCAAAATGTAAAATAAATACATCATTAACATAAGTAACACCAATATCGCTCTGAGCTTGTTCTATACTCATAGATAGTATTTTCTGAAATTGAGGTGTTTGGTTTGGGGTTTTCTTTTTGAATAGTTTAGAGTAAGCCTTTTGAAACTCACTAGTCTTTGATAAAGAAAAGATTAAAATATATATTCTTAAGATTCTATAGAAAAATCTTGGATTTGTCAAGAATCTTTGTCAGTGTATCTGTAATATGTAACAAGGGCTGGAATGTGTTTTTGATCTCTTGGTTGTTTGCAGTAGGGCGAGTAGTAGCCCTGTGAAGCACTTGTAGAATAAAGCTGCTGGTGATGAGGATCTGATATCCTCACAGGTCTTCCACCATCTCTAACTCATTCCTGTCATTTGAATGCCCATTACAAGTTGGAGGGGCTTAGGTACTGTCCTGCAGTGAAAATTTTGGCTTACTTTTATCCTAAAGGAATCTAGTTCATGTCAAACCTGTTCTGGGAAATGAACGGGGACAGTAAGGAGGGACAATGGGGAGACTCACTTCAGAAGTGCATGCCTGACCCAAACTAGAAAAAATGTTGATTGCAACCTTCATTCTTCAATAATTTCTGCAGCATTGTCTTACAACTCAGGCTGTGACTCTATGCAGAATGTACAATTGCTTTTTCTTATTCTGCAACAAACCAAAATAAAATCACTGGAAAATAGGAGCTGGAAGTAAACTTTCTGTGATAGTATTTTGACTTCTGAACTGAATCTTTGTACTCTTTACTGAAATAGGTGAAATTTTTCTGTCCCTTTTGCTTTTTAGGCACCTCTCACAAAACGTAGTGGGCTCTTGTAGAGATAATTTTATCTTTTTTACCCCTAGAATATTAAAAAAAACAAAAGGTAGTTTTGTATCTGTATATGTAGTAATGTATTACTGTTTTCAGTGAGTTCCAGCTAGCATGCATACTTTCAGGTCACGTCTATGGAGTGTCCTGAAAACCTGGCTTGATTGTCATTATTTACATGACATTACAGATTTCCAGAGATACTCTTAGATGTGCACTGAAACTTTTCTCTTGCTGAATTTAGGATTAACTTAGCTCTTTCTTTAAAGTATTTTATTATCACTTCTGCTTGCAGCCTCATCAGAAAAATGGCAACACAGCTGGTTACAGCACAGGTGTCGTCAGCGTTGCGCAATAACAACACGATTGTTCAGCAGTATAGGACACCTCCTGTAAGTTCATATAAAGCACAGTGTTAGTATCCTTCTGAATTGTAAGAAACTTCAGATATGTCAATAAAGAACACTGCTCACTTTCTTCTGTAACTGTTTTAGATGCTGCACTTTTTAAGGTGTACCTCTGATTGGTTGGTACATTTTTATTTCCTGTAAAGTTGTCTGAGCTTACTTGGATTTATTGTCCAATTTAATGAAATAACCAAAATAAATAAAGTAATGAAGATTAGAACTTGTAGAGGCTGTTTATGTCCTGTGATGGGAACAAAAATTGTAAGTTAGATAAAATTACTTCCTCTGCCCCCTGCCCCCCCAGTTAATTTATACTTGTGTTTTTTTCCTCCTGTTTCAGCAGGCGTTTGGAGGAACTTCTGGCCCACAGTTACTTCAGCCCCAAACAGATGCCATTCTGCCACCACCCAAAAAAAAAGTTCCACCTGACACTTCTGTGAAGGAAAGGCTTTTCATACTTTTTCATCCCCATCCTTTACCTGTTGTCGTTTTGGAGGATGTGTTCTGGTAAGCCTCCATTTACAAATAAGTGCTTCCTAACAAAACCAAAACAAACTATGAAATATTTAAAATAAATGTTGAAAATAAAAAAGATTATCGTGAAAATGCTTTCCAAAAAGAGCAGTGCGCAGTGATTAGTATATATAAGTGAACAGTAAGTAACAGTTGCTTTTTGAAACTAGTTTGTTATGGAATTCACATTGAAGCATAGAGGCAGTGTCAGCAGTATAGCAGCTTTATTATCAATTAACTTAATCTAAAGTAAAATGTCTAGTCTTCTAACGCTTATTTTTAACCAAAAATGTGGTACTTCCAGTTCTTCCTAATTTATTTTGCATTTTCTTTTAAGTATTTCTGTAAGGTATTTAAGTATTTTGATAAATTTCCACAGTAACTTAGGTGAGTATATCATATATCATAATGGTTTGCATCTTACTGACACTATTTCAGCTGTTCTTTCACACGACCTCCTTTTAAGGAGCAAAGACTTGAGACAATTTTTGCCATCTTTAAAACAAATCTATAGTTAACTGTTCTCCAGTGTTTTCTATTATTTGTTTGTAGTGTACTCTTGAAGAAAAAGACATTTCCCTTTTCTAATAGCTTGCATTTGCAATAAATCTTTGGAAAGCCAAACTATGTACAAAGCACCAGGAAAGGAAAAGAAATAGTAAGCACATAATGTGGAATTTAAAACTACCTATTTGATATACTAGATTTTCTTAATCAGATGCTGGAGAAAGGAAAAAGCTGTGTATACATTTGTGTAACTTCAATATGAAGTAAGCAGACTGTTTTTCAGAAATGTATTTTAAGGAACTGTCTAGGAATCTCTTGAGGACTTTGGAAATCCGTTTTCCCTAAAGCTTTTGTGTTTGCTTTCTGAGTCATTTCAGTGAGACCTTTTCAAAGATGAATCACAACTAAGTTCATTTAAGTGAGATGCAGGTTTAGCTTCTAAATTATCTGCTGGTTTGCGTGTGTATGTCTTATTTTTCGTTTGTTTGGGTTTTTTCTTTGTAGTGAGTCAATAACTACGATGATCCCAGCGGAGGCAGAAAACTGGAATGCTTTATTGGACTTACAGTAAAGGGTTTTACACTTAAAGGGTTTAGGGTCTACATATTTAACAGGAAACTCATTTTATTTAAGGGAAAACTCATTTTATTTTGAGGGAATTACATGGAGGAAAGAGGTATTCAGGTTTGCAGAATGCACAGGATCCAGGGAACACAAAGGGAGAGATAAAGCACAGTAAGTGTTCTGCACTGGCTTGATGAAATCAGGGCATGGTTTCTCTGGGCTTGGGCAGGACATTCCAAACCCGTGACATCAATGGATCCTTGTCTGGACTTTAAGATGGAGGTTTGTCCCCAGTCGCTGTTAGCCCAAGGCTTTTGTTTAAACCTAGCAGTTTTCTTTTTCTCATATCCAAATTTTGGAATCCAACATTTCTTATTTTGTTTTTTTTGGGGGTGTTTTGAGTGCCATGTAGTGTTTGAGGACTGTAGTATTGATTAGCTTTACATATTCTTTTAAATAAGAGAGAAGTCATTGGTGTTTGTGTTTCTGTTGTAATATTCTGTAGAAAACATAGTCTGTGAACTTCTGGTATTATTTCTGTTCCTGCCCATAATTCAAGAGAAGGGAATATGAAAATTGGGAGTTTTAGAAGAGGCCAGCAGAAGAAAACATAGTGTACATATCAGAATACAGTTGTTGCAGTTAACAAATCATGTATACTTCAGATTGGATATGTTGCAGGAAAATGTGTAAACTCTTTTTTTTTTTTTTTCGTCCCCCCCAGTCGTTTTGGACAACTGATACAAGTTTACCTTGTTGCTGGAAAAAATGTGGGCTATGCAAAATTTGCAGACAGAGCAAGTGCCAGCGAGGCCATAACTGCATTACATGGCAAGATTGTGAATGGTGTCAGGCTCAAGGTGAGGTTGGCAGACTCGCCCTCGGAGGAACCCAACAAGCGCCAGAGAACTTACTGAGCAGGTGAGTACCCAGTCTGAGCTGTTACTTACACTGAAGTTCAGCTACATGAAATAGTAATTGGCTAAGTATTTTTAAGGTTAGATACAAGCATGTAATGATAAACTTTAAACCTATTCTTAGCTAACAACTTGAAATACAATTTGTTGTATATCTGTGTGTATATATGTACACATATCTGTGTATGCTTATATATGCACATATGCACTTTATTTTAGCAAAAACGAATTTTTATAATTCTTGGAAAAATATGAACCAGTTGATAAAAATCAGTCTGGATGTTCATAGAAATATTTGCTTTTGTACGTAAGAGAATCAATTAACATTGAAAAGAGAATGCAAGAATAAACAATGGAACTGACATCAGCTTCTGTGTGTCTTTTTTTTTTGTTAAAAACACATGCCATCAGTGGTGTTGGATAAAGATGCAGAGTTGAGCTGTTGGAGGGTAGAGGAGTGAAGGGGTAAATAAAAGAAGGATGCAGGGGGGGACAGGTAAGGTTGTCAGGTGAAACCAAAGGTTTGGGATATTTGGGTCATCTGGATTCTCAGAAATCAGATGTAGCTGAAATGTGTGATAGTGAAGAAAATATTGCAGAGCTTGTGGTGGAGGGATTGAGATGTGTGTTTAAGATAATTAGTCTGAGAACTTATTGTTTGATGCTTATGGCCTGTGAAAGCTGGCTAAACTCCTAGAGGTTTCATATTTTTTAGACTTCAGGGACCAAAACTGATTTGTTCTTTTAAAACATTGGTTTGCTTCAAATTACATAAAATTTAATAAAATTTCTTTTTTTTTTTTTTAATTTCTTTTTTAACATTAGAACTGTTACCAAAAGAGAAATATAGTAGGGGAAGAAAAAGCTATTTTCTGCAAAATAACTCAATATTACTATAGCTTTCAGATATTTCCAGTAGCCATATTATCTTCCGAAGGGACATAGTTTTGATTTAACTCATTCAGAAAACGTCACATGAAATCCTGACTCTCTTCACGTCAATATTTTACCTCTAAGCTTCACTCCTTGTACCTTTCTTTGTATAGATGTTCTTTGTGACCCCAGAGTTGCAAAGATCAAAAAAAGATTTTGCCCAGATTGTTCCTGTTCTCCTTTTTTCCTGAGGACTTTCGTGTTGCTCTTCTGATAAGCAGCAAATGCTAAAGGTGGCTTTAGTCTTTTTATATACAACTTTTGTTTTAAAAAATTGGATTTCTAGCATTCTTTTTCTGCATTGAATTACAGCTAAAACTAATTTGAAGCTTTTTTCTTTTTTTTTTTAATCAGCAGGTGAACACAATTTTAAGTAACTTGTACCCATGCTCTTATCTTCGTATAAAGTTTTGTTTTTAGTGTGACTTTTACTTTCAGCAATTAAAGGCCAGCTTCTGGGTCTCTACAGGAATAACTATGATGTGACGTGTAATATAATACCAGGTCTGCCTTGTGTACTTTTTACAAAAAAAGTGTAAACACAATATGTGTCCAAAATTAGAAAAATGATCTATCCTGAAGTTTTCTTTCTTTGTTTTTAAGAAAGATAAGAGTGAGAAGACTGGAAAGTTTTCTTCTGATGGTCTATCTAAAACTGATTTTTTTTTTATTCACACATACGAACACACACAGAAGCACGTTTTTCCAGTCGTGATTGTTGAGAAGATTCTTTAACGTCTCCAGGTGACAAACAGTGTGCAGATGGTCACCAAATAGGATTTTCAAAAGGCTAAAGCTTACTTTATGTTTCAGATTATGTTATTAAATTCTAATATACACATATTATTGACTAATCAGAAACATAAGGTCAGATTGAGACACACACATTTTACCTAATTAGAAAAATGGAAAACTAAGATCCTATTTAAAAATTATTTTTTTACAATATTCAAAATTACAGCAGAGCTCTCTGTCCTTTCCTAGGTATCTCTAAAATTTCAAATAACAGAGTACTAGTGTTAGTTGTTGAAAGACAGACATGTTAACTCTGTCTTGGACAGATTACTAGTAATTTTGGTGGAAATGGCTGCTGAGTATTTCCCTTCTGGTTAGCCTTTCATCTGCTGAGTCTGTGCTATATCACAGGGAGAAGAGATTTCTAAATTTACAGTGTTACATCCTGTACATGAGGTTCTTGATTCTGAGTCTTTTAGCAGGTTGTTTTAGCATCTATCTCTTCTTAGAACAGATAGACAAAATTACTTGCTCTTTTTGGACTTCAGTTGGTTTCTCAAATTCAAATGAAATGGTACATAAAAGGAAGGATTCCCTGTCAAAAAGGGCTTGCCCATTTAAATGAAGCTTACCACTGCCTGACTTTGCCTTGGACCAGCTGACGAAAAGCTTTGCAGTAATATAGAGGCTTATATTTTGCTTTCACCTAAAACGTTAAATTGTGCATTTGAAAGGAGATGGAATTCTCTCTACCTCTCTGGGGTTTTTTTTGAATGTGCGAGAATATTAACTTTTGTTCTTTTTGGATTTTAGCTGTAGGAAATAATCTGCCTAGCTAAAACTTCTCTGAGTTTTCACTTAAGGAAGTCATTCCCTCTTAAAAAAACCCTGTTCTAAACTCCTATTGTATTACTGGCTTTTTGTCTCTAACAAGGTGACTGGATTTCTAGAGTAGTCCTTTCTATACAGGGTTCTCTGATTAAAATCTGTGATAAGACTTGAGAATTCTAGAATCTATATGAAAATAAATGGAATTCAGTGGAATAATTAAATTTAAATAAAATATTTTTTCTACGCATTTGACGTTTTTCCCTAACACTTCCTTATGCAAATAATCTTTTTAAAAATACAATTTACAAAATTGTTTCTTTAAAAATGTTTTATGGTAACAGTATGCTACTGATAATGCTCCTGCAATGTAAACGTCTGACCGTAAGAACTTTGTTACCTTGCAACAGCCTTTGGTTTATCAGGTGAATTTGCATACATATGTATTAATATTCTAAACTGATGCACCTAATGAATTTTACAGACTCTGGCTCTCCTACAAGTCAGTGAAAATTCAATTTATATGAGTAGTTAAAAGTAGCAGAGAAAAGATGGAAATAGAGACTAGTAATGTTCTCTTAACTACTTTAAATTCTAACATAAGGGTTTTTTTGGGGTGAGGTTGTCCCCTCTTATGCTAAGTAAGTATTAACGGCTGAAATAATCACTTTAAACTATCTTGCTTTGAATCAGTCTAGGCTTGAGAAGACAACTACAGTGTCTACTTCTAGGCAGTTGCTGAAAGCAGACCAATCTTAATGTTCTTGTTATTGACCAGCCTGTGCTCTCCACTCAGAGTTTTGCATTACTTTGAGTATTTCAGGAAAACCTCACTGCAGTGTCTGATGCCAGTTGTGTAAATTATATAATTCAAAAATGGAAGAGGAAGGAAGGAATTTGCTATCTTTTAGAAGAATGTATTCTGGAAATCCAATTAATCTCTCTATTGCAACCTTATAGTTCTATTTTAATACCACTCCCAAAAACAACCCCCCCCAAACAACAGACCCACAAACAAACAAAACAAAAAACCAAAACCCACACAAAAAGTCTCTCACAAAGCTTTCAAGGAGTCCTTAGAAAGCAGAGCTTCTAACTAGCAATGTATTAAAAATGCAAAGGTCCACACAGCTGTGTGGACCTGGGTTCTGTGGGTTTTAACAATCATTGCTGATTGACTTTAACCCACAGCAAATGGATTAATTGCATTTTTCCCCTTCTGAAAAAGTTTGGTGGTGTCTTTAAATAATTATTTAGTCACTTACTAAATTAAAAAGCATTTATTCTGTCATGAAATACATGGTTATTTTTGTCTTGTTACTCTTGCTCTGAAAAAGTCCTGCATCACTGATTTGATTTGCATTCATTTTTTTACTTAGAGTTTATTAAAATCCTGAAATTAACATCTATATTTATAATAATGTATTGTTGTGCAAAAATGTTTAAAAAAAGTAATTGTATCATAGTTGAGATGTATTCTGAAAAAAATAGCTGTATTTTGTATCAACAGCGTACCGCAGAAAAAATGCGGCTTTCACGCACTGCTTAGAAAAAGAGACACTTCTTTAAAAGTTGGAGAAGCATACCTAAAACTTTAATATTATTCTTCTAAAGATATTAAAAGTCTTATTTATATGCTGTTGTAGTGATTCTATTTTATAATATGTACTTTAAAATAAAAATATGTATGTTGCTTTTTGATGCTATTTTTGTACTTGTGTTTTTTCTACAGAAACTAAATAATGACATGACCCTCAGCTAGCTGACTGACTGACTGAAAACGTGACTAGACATGGTTCCTGTGGACAGTGACAGCTTTTTCAGTGACAGCTTTTTTTTTGTTGTTGTTTTTTTTGTTAATTGTTACTTAGTTGATCTCTCTATGGTGCTTTTTGATTTTGAATATGCAGACATGCAGTTTTGAAAATTATCTAGGTATTTAACATTGTAAACTGGTGGTTGTTCTTGTAGTAGTATATAATCCTGTATTACAGAAATCTTGTTTTTACCTGAATTCCTCCTATAAGATGAAATTTACAATGATGGGGGAAATAAAGGAGTCAGCATTTTCTGACTTGACTGGTTAGTTGATAATGATTCAGATTCTGTTAAGATAGAAGACATTTCTCATAATCCAAATTGCATTGAAAAGTGAAGTACAGCAGTAAATTCAAAGAAAATGAAATAACTGTTTAAAAACTGCTATCAGGCGTGACAGTATTAATCTAGATTTAAGAAAATAGCTGTAATCTAGAAAATGATTCAAAGTACATTCTTAAGTATTTTGTTGACTTGGGCCAAAAGTACTTGTTATGCTTTGTATGCTGTTTAGTGAAAGTGACATTTGACTGTGGGTCAGACTATCAAAACTGCTTACATTTATCCTTTCTTATCCTGAGGTCTTTTGGTTATAACTGGGCAAAGTATGGAGTCTAGGGGTGTGGGGGTTTTTTTTGTTATGGTTTTTTTTGTTGTGGTTTTTTTTTTTTTTAGGGGGTTGGGGTTCTTTCCTCTCCCCCTCCGAAGCTTTCAATGCATATGTTCAAGTAAGAGTTGGACAAGTCAGCATTTCAGCAGGATCAAGAGCACATTCCGGCACTGATGGAGAGTAAATGAAGATAGTTCAAATAAGTATTTGCACAGAGAATTTTCAAATGCCAAATACTTTTCTATGTATTCCTGCATACTACTTGTTGAATTGAAAATATCCTGGTTATTAAAGTAATTTATACAGATAAAATTGAGGAATTCTAGTTGTATGCACGCTACAGGACAAGCATGCCCTTGGATGCATCTCCTATCCTGGTCCCTTGATCGTTGGTGTGGGGAGAGACATGGAAGCAGCCTGTAATTTCTTCTGTCTCTGAGCACCTTTGGAAGTATTTCCTTCCAAGAAATCCCTATCTCGCAGGAAGGCTGGGATGAGAATGCAGGTCTTACTCCCTTAGTTCCAGGATGGGATAGTGAACTGTTTCAGGGTAGACACTACCAGTATATGCACTTTTAATGGGCTGAGAGAGTTATTTACATTGATAAGGGGGATGGGTCACAGGGGAGACAGAGTGAGGGACAGTAGATCTGGATAGTGGGGTTTAAGAAACAATGAGATTTGAGCTTTTATTCTACCCTATAATTTCATGCACTTACCCACTTTTTTCCACTCCCTGCCAGCAGTGTTAGGTTGGCTTAGCCTCTGGGTCCCTTCCCAGCAGGGAGATGCTGCTGTCAGGAGCGCTGGGCAGAAGGTTGTTTTTGTGCTGTGCAGCTGCTCAGTCACCATTTGGGTCCCACTGGCCAGTGTCCCTTAGCAGCCCTGGGTTTTCATTTTTATGTAGCTCACGGAGCTCCAGGATCGTTGTCCCCCTTTCCATGATTCTCACTGTCTGCTTCTCCAGCCCCTTATTCTTTCCAAGACTGCTACTTCTTAGCAGGAGACCTTTGCAGCCTCCTTTCAGATGCTGCAGCCCCTTTGTTTTCCCAGTCTCAATAGTGAATGTGCAGAAACACAGCAGCTTATAATGGTGGGTATGTCTTGTGTCTCTATTAATTTAAGCTATGTTTTTACCTATAACAGATGGACTGCTTTTTTAATTTGTTTTTTAAAGAGAAGGAGGAAATGAGAAGATATTAGAAAATACCTCCAGTTGTAAGTAGCTAAAAGCTGCAGGTGAAACTTCTTAATTTTCTCTTTTGTTTCCCAACAGCGAAACACATACATCAAATAAAGCAATGTCCTTGGTTGGGATGAGGGTGGTTGGGGGTGGGAAAAGGAGGGAGTGGAGAGTTTTTCATAAAATCTTTTTAACTGGAAGGCATGGTTACTCAAACCTTAGAGCTTCACCATTTGGTGCTTTACAGTCAGCTGTCTTACACTACTGCTAGGATGCAAACCTAGATTAGCCGTCTGGTAATTGTCATTTGACTTCACCTACTATCAAATTAATGCAATTAGAATAATATTTACATGCAGGTTACTTAATGTTACTTATACAGCAAATATTTTAAAGTATTTAGTAAATAGTTTAATGCAAGATCTTCAACTAGGTTTTATTTCCTGCTCTTTATAGAGGAGTATCAGTAAAAATACCTTTGCATTAGAGTGTATATGAGAATAAGCACTGTCATTGCAATTGGTTCAGAAGTTTAAATTCAAGTTTAAAAGTTGAAAAAAAGTTGTTCCTATGTTAAAAGAATATTAGAATTTAAATGCTTAAATGTGAGGAAGTTGCAGAATAAAGATAGCCTAAGAAACCTCGTTTTCCTTCTCTCCATCTTCCTAGTATGTGTTACAGTCCTTGATGACTCACCAGCAGCTTTTTTCCCCAAGAGCAGTTGTTTTGTTCAGCACAAAGAGCAGAATTGAATCAGGGCTGCATGGTTTTTACAGGCTGTAAAATTCCTACTCAGTTGGGTGTAGATGTTAGAAATTGGAGGTTTATGGTTGAGCTTGGAGAATTGGATCCTATCTGTGAACTCTGGCCCAAAGGTTGTTCGTAAGAAGGGTTGCCATTTCTCTGGGTTCCCTTGGAAAAGTCCCAGTTTGGATCGGTGTGTAAGGTTTTTTTTGCTGCTTAGTTGGTATTGTGGGGTTTTTTCCATCCCTTATAATAAATTTCAAGTAGCATTTGGGGCTTTCCTGTTTTGCTCAGGGGAAATAATTCTGACCAGTTTGCCATAAATCCCAAACTCCAGAACTGTCAAGCAGCACCTTTGCAGACTTAACTGTACAGTCAATGTGTTTAGTGAATCCAAAATTTTCAGAAAGCATCAGTCCTATTCTGGATACATGGAGAGACACCATGTTCATGTAGAGGGGTCTGACACATGCTTCTGAACCTGTATGGTGTGGTGTATCTGCACAGCACCAGGTGAAATGCTGAGAATGCCTGTATAGTCAGTTGAAAAAAACCCCAACTTCTCATTTATGTGATAAAATCAGCCTTTTGATAAGTCTCTCCTATGTCAAGGTCCCTGTCTGACGTGGTACTGAAGGTGGATCCCTGTGTGTTTAGGGGACATGAACATCCCCAGGAGAGTAAACACTCAAAAATTGACTGGTGGTTTTTTTTGGCCATCCAAGATGGGGAAAAAAGAATCAGGTTGGCATGATCCTAACAGCTATTTGAAGGGAGCATTCAACACACGCAGAAGGCTAAAAGATACCCTTAACAACTTGAAGTAATGTTATGAAGTAGACAGAGCAGTGCCATTTTCTAATTGTTCTCTATCTTGTTTTTGTTATTACATGTCTCTGGGAGTAGTGGGCCACTGCACTCCCCTGGGCATGGAAGATCAGTGCTCCCTTCTTTGGGCTGTGGAGCTCTCTTGCCTGCTTGTTCAGTCAGGTCTGCAACTGAAGAGAATTGGACTTGGGCTGGAACTTGGAAAAAAAAATTTTCCCGTTCCAGTTCTGAGACTTCAAGGTACCCAAAGAAGCAACTCTGCAAACAGTATCTCCCTTATAGTCAATATCGAATCAAGCTACTAGTTGACTCACATGGAGTCATTTGTAGTGTTCTGGTAATATATTTAGAAGATACTTAAAATCATTATTGCTCTCCTTAGAGTTCAGTGTATTTACTGAAAGTATTAATGTGCTATTCTTCTCCAGCTAAGTAATATCTTGCTATTTTGAAGTCCCCCAGCATTTTTGATTGGATATGATATTCACCACTCCCTGTTTCAGTTGTTATGTAGCACTACTGGTAAGTGGCATGCTGCTTTTATAGATCCTTTTGTTGGTAAGTAAAAACTCTGTCTGCTGTGAAAATGAGCATTAGGTTCCTGCACTGGAAAAAAACTTGTGCTACTCATATTCCTTTTGATGGTGTTTAGTGAATTGACCAAAACTGTATAGGGTTTTTGTTGTGTTGTTTTGCAGAATCAGTGCTTTAGTGTTGGTAAGTAGAATTTAGTATGCTTATCCGTAAGTGACTTGGATTTCAGCTGTGTTCATCAGCCATAGTTTCTGTAGGCATTGAACAAGGCTTTTATACCTTTTGAAAATGAGATAATACAGATTTCTTAAATTACACTAGGTGATGTCCCGTAGAAATCATTTTATCCATTTATTGAGTCATAACTTCTGGGTTAGTAGAGGAGCCTTTTCTTTGTGTAAGTGGGGGAAGATACTAATCTGCTTATGTTGTCTGAATGTCTACATTAGGGTATTTCTGATTATGAAGTGAAAAAAGGCCATTCTCAAGAGGGCTGTGCATTCTGAATGTGATCTGTGAGTCAGTGATTGCAGTGCCCCTCGCTGGGTCCTGGGACTCCTGAGACCTTTTTCTTTAGTGGCACAAACCAGTACTAGGGCATCTCACATGGGGGTAGAGCCCAGGTTTGCAGTGCAGTGTGCAATTGGATTTCCTTTGCATCTTTTCTTGTTCTTCCTGTTGGTGGTCCTTTTTCTGACCCAGGGCACTCTGTCATGTCTCTTCTGCTCTGTCTTCAGAGATATCATCTAATGTCTGCAGTAGCAGGAACCTCCACTCTTTCAATTACTATAGAAGTAAGTGAGAGACAGAAGGAATAATCATACATAAGTGGAAACTGTTGAAGGTGAAAACGTGATTATGTGCACAGCTCCAGTCCAGGAAAACTAATTTCATATTCTCATCATGCCATTTTCCTGAACTTACTATTTTTATTTGTTAAACATTCATTTAAAACTTTATCAAAGATTCTGCTCAAGTTTTTCACAGAATGTTAAGTTAGAACTGCAGTTATACTGGTAAATTTTCTCCAAATAGAATGAAGAAAAAACTATCAAAGAAGGAGGGTTAACAGTGCCAAGTTCACTTACAATTATAGCAAAGGGACAAAGGGTGACACCACAGCCTGCAGTGCTGTGAGGCAATCCCCCTGGTTCCAGCAGAGGTCACTGGGCTCCTGGGTGTGTAGACAGAGACTGCAGCTCAAAGCTGACACTGCTGAAAATCTTAACCTGCTCCTAAGATAATCAACCTATATATAGAATTTCATAACCAAAAGCTTGTGGTTTTTTTCCACAGGTAAAGAATTATCGCTAGGTGTATCAATTTTAAACACATAATTTAAAGTACTTTTAAC